CCACGGGGGGCGGGCCTAAAGGGAGCATGGGCTGGGGCGGCAAAGGGGCGGGGCCAGAATCAGAGTGGGGCAGGGCCTAAGGAAGAGCCGAGGCTGGGGCGTGGGGCTGGGCGGAGAGGGGGCGGGGCCAGAATCACAGTGGGGCGGGGCCTAAGGAAGAGCCTGGGCCGGGGGCGGGAAACAGAGGAGCCAGTAGGCAGGGCTTGGGAATTGGGGCGGGGCTGAAGCGGCGTCTGGGGGCCGAATTGCAGCGTTAACCCCCACCCGCCTGCCCATTTCGGGAGCGGGTTCCTGTCTCAGACCAACTCGAACCCCGAAACAAAAGCCTTCACACCTCTCCGGAGCGGGCCCTTAAAGCAGCGACCCCGCCAGGCCGGGGAGCAGACCCCGGCCCCAGCCTTTCCTCATCGGGTGGCGGGGCCAACCCCTTCATCTCAGGGACTGTTTCCTCACTTGTCAAAGGGGCGGATCCTAGAGCTAACGAGAGGCTCTGATAGGATGACGCGCAGAGCGCGAGGCCAGCCGTCAGCATCACCGCCACGCCCACTGATGGCCTCTGGTCTAGTTGTCCCGCCCCCTGGAGGTCCCCTCACATAGCAGCGGGAGGTGGCCCCGGGGCGCACCGTGCGCCCTCCAGGGCTGCGGCTCCAAGAGTGTTTGCCGAGGGCGGTGCTTTGGGCTCAGGTCCCCGGAAACGGACGCAGGGGCCGCCGGCCCTCTCACTTCCTGCTCCGGCATCAGGGCGGCAGCTCGGCGGCCTCCTGGCGCCGAGAGCTTCCAGCACCTCATCTCCGCGCGGCCCTGGGGTTTGTCCAGGCCGGCCCGCGAGGCAGGCTGCCAGTGTTGCCAGGAGCCATCTTCCCGCGGTGGGGACCGGCCCGTACCTTTTCCCTGGTCCCCGTAGTCCTGGAGAAGGCCACCCAGCTGTCGGCCCGCGGGGAGCTCGGGCGGCCCGAGGCCCCCACGCCGAGCTGAGCGCCCCCGTGTGGCTGAAGCCCAGGAGGCAAGCAGGTGGAGACCGTCCTCCCACCCAGCACCCAGCGGGGTCAGGGAGCAGCTGGCACACAAACACTCGTGTGTCACCGGTCTGGTGATCAGTGAGAACTGGTCTAACACGAGTCAGGCAGGGTGCCCCAGGGCTCAGTGCCGGGCCATGCCCCTGTACCTTGCCCCTGGAGGGGGGAAGGCTCAGTCGATCCTGCTTTGGGCCTGCCCACGAGGTAGGTTTGTCGCTGTGTCACTAGTGGGGAAACTGGTAGCATGCTTAAGGTCATAGCGGGTATCTGGGAAGGATTCAAATTGCACCCATCTGACGCAGAACCCAGAAAGCTCTTTGCGTCCAGCCCACCACCCAGCTTCAGAGCAGGTGGGGCTAGCAGCTTGGTGATGCAACCAGGACAGTCTCTCTCTCACATACACACCCTTCCAGGGACCAGGCACCTGTGCCCTGGGGTCCTGGGTCAAGGTCTCCGGGACTCAGCCATCTCTTTGTCCGTTCTGGTCACCCAGACGTCCCAGACCAGAGGGGTCGACGCTGCAGGGTTGCACTCTGTCTTTGGGGTCACAGACCTGGAGAGTTTGAGGGCTCCAAGAAATTCCCACTCTCACCGAGGAATCGTCAGACACTCCCCTCTCCTTGGGTATCATCCCGAGGGTGGCCACCTGACTTTGGGACTGTGGTTCTGGAGGCTCTAGGACCTGCCCATTGTCACTTCGAGGGGCCCAGCCGCCCAGACTGACCTCCACCCCATCCCCTACAGCCCCCAAAAAGTCCTCTGGAGGAACAAGGGAGCCGCCAGCAGTGGACGGGGGGCCTGGGAGCCTGCAGGACGCTGAGGACAGTGGTTCCTCACCCAGCAGCCGGGGCTGGGAGGAGACCTAGCCCGGCCAGGCCGCACGTGGGGAGCGGCTGCGAGGTGCTCTCAGGGAGCACCCCACCTACCACAGCAGCCAGGCCTGGTTCCGGGTGATGATCGCAAAGCCGGCGCTGGGACTGAGATCCTGTTCGGGGTCGGGGAAGCCAAGAGGAGACCCTTCGTCCCCATCCATCTCGGAAATGCCCCTCACCCACTGGCTGCCCCACCCTCACCGCAGCATCTGCTCCTTTCGGGGGAGTGGGGGAAGGGAGTGTAGCGCCCTCCGCCCTCATCCCCGACATCCTGTTCCCTGCCGCTCCCGGACCCCAGGGCTCCAGCTTCGGGTGGTCTCGGGTGCCCCCTAGTGGGTTCCCGGCGTCCGGCGTCAAGGGCGCAGGCAGACGGCTTTGGAGTCCCACCGAATCAGAGAATAACGTGCATAGGAAGGATGTGTCTGGCGAGAACAGGGTCGAACGGGCCTCCTGCCTGCACCTCACGGAAGAGGCACTTGAATGCATCCAGGGGCTGGAGATCGCTCCCCGTAAGAGTGCAGGACAAAAACAGATGGGCTGCCCCGTCCGTGGGACGCTGAAGGCTCCGTGTGTCCTCTGAGGAGTGACAGAGGTGGCGTGCACCTGCCCCCTCCTGGCACAGAGCCCCCTCCTCACCAGCATGCCCTCCAGCCATAGCTTGGCATCTGCCACTCGCTGCTGTGCCCTTCTGCTCTGGGGCAGCTCACCCACCCGGCCAGAGGACCAAACTCCCAAGAGGACCTGAAGTCTGAGGGGTGTGTGTGTGTGTGTGTGTGTGTGTTTGTCTGTGAGAGAGAGTATGTGTGTGTGAGTGTGAAGTCAGTTGTTAAAGGCTGCATTGATTTTCCTGGAATCAAATAAAACCAAACCTGTGCGCTGTCCACATTTGCCCTGAAGGCCAGGCTCCCTGCGGCTGCTCGCCTACAGCCTGCACTGTGGACCCAGCTGGCGAGTGAGGCACTTAGTGGGGTAGTGGTGGCCGGCTGGGGTGACAGCGGAAAGCCCACTTCCTGTGCCTGGAGCACTGAGTGTCCCCCATGAGCGCTGTGTGTCCAGTGAAGAGGGTCTGAGCAAAGCGACCCTAGTAAGAGGGCAGAGGTCCAGCTTGGCACCTAGGAGCCACGGAGGGCGCCTGAGCGGAGTGGAACATGAAGCAAGTGCTGGCCACCCGGGCAGTGGCAGAGCCAGCCTGGCTGGCCGCCCGGGCAGTGGAAGGGCTGGCCCGGGGCTGCCCCTGTCATAGGTCCCCGGCGGACAGACCCCTGTATCTGCTAGCTGGAATACTCACCATCACCACCATCTGTGTGCCAAGAACCTCGCACCCTTAAAGCAAGGCATTGTCCTCAAGCCCTGCAAGGCGAGTCCTGTCACCTTCCAGCTTACAGATGACAAACCTGAGGTCCCTCGCGGGTTCACGGTGGGCAGTGAGCTCAGGACTTTAACCCGGCTCTGGTCCCTCGGCTGCCGAGTGAGAAGGTGAGAGAGCGCCCCTGAGTCCTGGGCCTTTGCAGGTGGCGCCGGAGCAGGCACAGCTCACACACGCACCGGAGAGAGGAGCACAGCCAAGTCCCTAAGGATGCGGACTGGCCCGA